TGACATCTCAGGCTAAGGGAAGGGTCAGAAATGAGACATCAGTCACACCCAACAGAGGAGACCACTGGTCACATTCCCCGTAGATACATGGTCAAGGCAGCCAATACAACAGTGTGTTGCTGCATGTGCTGCATTGTGCCATGAGGTACATAAGATACAGTCCTGCCCTAGAGATGCTTCTAACCTAGCATGGGAGGCAGATTTGTGTATGGGCAGGATAAATTGTACCGTGCCTTAGCAGAGGTTAAGTACCAAGAAGTGGGAGTAGAGAGATGAGGAAGCTGCTCATGTGGGTCAGAAAAGGCTTCACAGAAGAGAGGACATCTGGCACGATTTGGAAACAGGGTAACTCATTCACCAGGCAGGAGAGGTAGGCAGAGGGCACAGTCAGAACTGCCTCATGAACACAGAAACTAGCAAGATGTGGGCTCAGACATGGAAAGAGGCCCTTTGTAAATTCCCGGTAAAGTAATTTTCACAGTCTCACTCACTCCTTCCTTTCATTCCAGGCTGAGATGACATCTTTTGGAGTTTTGACTTTCAGACCATCCTCATCTGCAGTCATCCAGGAATGATTCTGCCAGGTTTCCCCAGTTTCCAGGTCACTGAATGGTGGAATTAGACCCAGGCTTCCCCTCTGCCACAGCTCTGTGTAGTCACTAATATAATACAGATCTCTGTATATGCCAGGATTCCAAATAACAAAATTTTATAAAGTACTTTTTTTGTTGTTTCTTCACTTCTTTCCTAATCACAATTCAAATAAAAAATTCCTTGTCTTATAAAGTGAATAAAGTTGAGTGAATTACTTAAGGAGTTCAGGAAGGCCGTATTTGAACTAGGAGAGAATCTCCAAACCACCTTCTATCAACATATTTTGAATTCTAGGTGTTTCTTTGAAGCCTGGAAATTTGTTCAGCCTCCACAGAACCTTTACACTGTTGTCCTTAAAGCAGCTACTTCCTTTCTTTTTAATTAACAATAAACTAAACAGATTTGAAATAACAGTTTGTCTTTACGAAAGAAAATGGGGTGGAGAAACATATTGGAACAACTGAGGAGTCCGTCAGTCCTTGCCAACAAGATTTAGACAGTTAATTAGAATAAATATATCTTTCATCTCCCTCTTTCTATATCATCTTAAAACAACAAAGCAAGCTTGCAATGCTAGAATAATGACACAGTCGGGAAAATATTCTAAATTTATTGAACTCACTGCAGCCCCTTTCACTTAGAATGATTTCAAAGCATTTATAATTGTGTGGTGTGTCTGTTAAATGCTGGCTAATAGCCAGTAATAGGACGCACTCATTAACATATTAGTTTACCTAGACTTAAATTGTGCCACTTTTATTTGGCTACCCCATGCCCCAAGTCCTTTGGAGGAAGGACTAAAGTGATCATGAGTCCACCAAAAATCCATGTTGAAATAACTTTCTGAAAGTTTAAGCCAGCGCTCATACTTATGAAGTAATTCATTCCATTTAAATTAAAATTATTCTTATTTTCTGAAGGCTTACTGGTTTTAATAACAGATTTAATCCCCATCCTATTTGATGTTTTAAAGATGTTCAAAAAGGAACATAAATAACTTTAAATACCACAGATCTAAGTCTCTTAACGAGCTAGCAGATTCAGTTTCTAAATCTTTCCAAAAATGGTCTAGGGCATTCATACAGCTGGAAACTTTCATTCCCACCATTATCCTAAGAGACCAAGGGTAGATTTATGACTTCTTGCATTTATATTGGTTACCAAGCCCCTACCGCCTCTGTCCCTTGTGTCTCTGATGTTGAGCCAAGAGTTATAGAAGAAAATCTATTCCCAAACCTAGTCCCAGAAAGTCAATACACAATGATTTGGCGTATGGCTTAGATTCGTCCTCCAATTTATTGAATCACAAAATGTTGGAGCTGAGAGGAATCTTAGAAGTTATCTGTTTCAAACTTTCCATGGTACAGATCAAGTCCTAGAGATGTTAAGTGACTTTCTCAAGGTCACATATCTAGCTAGTGAAAAAAACTGGTCCTATAACCAACCACATACTTTGAGCCCTTGCTATTATTCAGTATTGTCTGCAGACCAGCAATATCGGTATCACCTGAGTGTTTGTTGAAAGGGCAGAATCTCAGGCCCCACCCATGACCTGCTGAATCAGAATCTGCATTGCAACAAATCCTCAGGTCATCTGGAGGTAAACCAGGCCCAGTGGTGAACACCTGTAGTCCCAGCTACTCGGGAGGCTGAGAAGGGAGGATCACTTGAACCAAGAGTTTGAGGTTGCAGTAAGCTATAATGGTGCCTATGAAAAGCCACCGAACTCCAGTCTGGGCAAAGTAGCAAGAATCAGAGGCTATAATACTGAGTGACCTATCACAGAAACAAAGAACCGAGTATCACATGCTCTTACTCATAAGCGGATCTTGAACAACTATCGTAATACTATAAGAAAGGGATTGGCAATATTGGGAAACTGCCAGGGGAGGGCAGGAGCAGGATCAGTAGTAGTGGGAAACTGCTGGGGCGGGGGGCACACCTCATTAACAATGGTACCCGCATAATGAACATTTGTATACCCAACCCTGAATTTTACCTCACATATTAAAAATAAAATTTTTTTAAATAGTAATAATTGTACAACTGTGGGTAAACACTTACCCTCTCTGAAAATTCCCACTTCTTTGTTTGTAAAATGGAGATAATAATAATACCCACCTCAAGTCTGAAAAAAAATTTTTTTTAAGTTTTTAGTTTAAAAAAATGAAAGAATTAGAGTCAAGCAGATTTTGATTTGAAGCATAGTTCTTCCTTTTCTAAGTGTAAGCAAAGATCCTGAAATCATCATTTATAATCTGGAAATAATAGCATTACTCAGCTTGCAGAGTTTTCATTGCATAAACATAACATTTGATGTATGCATCTGCATTGTGTGCTATGTTCATAGGTAATATATGCAAAGCGCCTGGCTTATAGTTGTAGCTAATAGAGTATATAGTAGCTAATATTATTTCCATTCTCATGCATGCCATTGATATTGTGCTTAACTGAAAATGAAAGCCACTAACAACGGTGCATCCCTGAAGGAATCACCTGTCTTTCTTCCTGGTCTAATGTGTTAAATATCCTTTTAACTTTTTTATATATGATTAAGATTTTTATATTTTGCTTCTAACTCTAGAAAATTATTCTTATGTAGAAAGTAAATAATAATAGCTAACTATTTTCAGTGCTGTGCTTGAAGATGAAAGAACTTCACCCAAAGCCAAGTTATAACCAAAAGAACAAAACGTTTTAAATATCTTGACTCAGGATTCTCTAAACCTGGTCTCTGAGAGCCAGTGAGCATCTAATGCTATACTCCTGCTGTGGTTTTCTTAGGCAGAGAGTCAGCTGCCATGAGCAGAACCCACAATATTAGAAAAAGTAGAGCACATTTCAAAGATGATGTTTCATCACCAACATGTCTCACCTGTCAGCATTAAAAAAAAAAAACATACTTTGAAGAAGAAAGAAGTCAAATTTTAGTATTAAAATCTGAGCCAAAATTTTGGGAAAATATAGCATGCTACAGAATAAAGAACTATGTTAAAATTATATTTTTGAAAAAGACATTTTGGGGGAAAGATGATTTTAACATTAATTAGAAAACCATGTTTTCCTGAGGCAGTGGCTTTCAACCCCAGCAGGGCATTAGAAACAACTGGAGAGACTTTTTTGGGGAAAAAAAAAACTGGAATACAAATTTCTGAGAGAGACAGACTAGGCTTCAGTCTTTCTTAAAATATTCCAGTCACTTTTTACAGGCATCCAGGATTGAGAGCCACTACCCCCACAGCATCAAAAACCTGATGCTCTTTTTAAAAAAATTTATTGATATTATTTTATTGATATATAATAATTGTATATATTTCTGGGGGTATATATGATATTTTGATACATGCATGCAATGTGTAGTGATCAAATCAGAGTAATTAGGATATTTATCACCTCAAACTTTTATCACTTCTTTGTGTTGGAACATTCCAAATTTTCCTCTAGCTATTTTTATATATACAATAAATCATTGTTTATTATAGTCAATCCACTGTGCTACAGAACACCAAAACTTATTTTTTTCATCTAAATGTATTTTTGTACCTACTTACCAACCACCTTTTATACCCCTCCTCTCTACCCTTTCCAGTCTCTTATAAGCACCATTCTACTTTATACCTCCATGAAATCAACTTTTTTAGCTCCTACATATAAGTGAGAACATGAAGCATTGTGCTTTTTTGTGCCCAACTTATTTCACTTAATATAATGACCTCCAGTTCTATCCATGTTGCTGCTAATGGGAGAATTTTATTCTTTTTTATGATTGAGTAGTAATCCATTGTACAGATATTCCACATTTTCTTTATTAGCTCATCTATTGATGGGCACTTAGGTTAATTCCATATCTCGGCTATTGTGAATAGTGCTGAAATAAATACAGGAGTGCAAATATCTTTTTGATGTACTGATTTTCTTTCTTTTGAATTAATACTGCAAAGTGGGATTGCTGGATCATGGTAGTTCTATTTTTAGTTGTGAGAAAATTCTCCACACTGTTTTCTACAGTGACTGTACTAATTTACATTTCCACCAACAGTGTATGAGCTTCTCCTTTCTTTGCAACCTTGCCAGCATTTGCTATTTTTCGTCTTTTGGATAACAGTCACTTTAAATGAGGTTAGATAATATCTCGTTGTATTGATTTGTATTTATCTGATGATCAGTGATATTGAGAATTTTTTCATATACCTATTGTCAATTTGTCTGTCTTTATTTGAAAAATGTCTATCCAAATTATTTGCCCACATTTATTAGATTATTTTTTTTATTGTCACTGAGTTGTTTGAATTCCTTATATATTACAGTTGTCAATTTCCTGCCAGACAGATACCTAGTGCTCTTTAAGAGACACATTTCACTGAGAGTCACTGGTTGTTGTTAACCTTAAGTGTACCTCTTCTAGGTCTTTTTGCCGCTCCTCCAGGACCTCCACCATAAGAAAAGGAGCCCCTGGACCCACATCCTCTAAGATGTTTATATGGACCAGTGGCCGGACCTCTTCATCTTACAGACACGATGAGAAAAGGTAAACACACTGGAACTTCGGGCACTTCTCAGAAGCATTTAACCTGACTCCCCAGAGAGGATGGTGACAGGGAAGCGTTAGGCAGCCCAGCCGGCCTTTATGTTTTGCACAGACTACACTAAAGGATCAGGGCTTCAGACACTGGCCCTCCTCCTCCTTGCATTTTACTGGCTCACTCCCACCACAAAGCTCTGCAAAGGCTGTTCCCTGTAGGAAATGCCCTTCGTGCCAGGTCCTTGCTTAGCTAACTCCAGCTCAGTCTTCAGATATCCAAGCAGAACCCCACCCCACCATCCTCTTTACCCAAGCAGACCATGTTTTATTTCTAGCACCTGTTGAATTCCCAGCACCTGATGCTGTACCTGGCACACAGTAGGTGCTCAGTAAATACTGACCAAAGTGATGAAAATTGCATTTCTGGGTGCTGGGCATACAGCAAGCAAGGAAAACAGAAACGACAAGAGGACAAAAAGAGGGTGGCCAAATCGGTGAAGGCATCAAAATCCTTGGAAGAATAGTCTTGGAGGGAGGGGAGAAATGAAAGAATAAAGAGAGAGTGATAAAGGGCAGAGGCAATGTTAATGGAAGACAAAGTGACATCATGCAGCTCGATCTGGTCTTCTCATTTGGACTTAGGGAGTAAATGTATTCCTAAAATTCTCTAGCCATTTCTAAATATTTAGTCTCTCTCTTTCTCATTGACCTTGTACTATTATTTGGGTTAGATGAAGCTAAATTTAAACATAACTGCCTTTATCAGCATATTGCAATTTAAGCAAGTCACACATCAGGAAGAATCTGATGGAAATCAGGACTGAGAAATGGTGCTGGGCACAAGGAAAATAATTTGAGGAGGTTTCACTTGAATATTGTTTTGAGAGCTAGATCTTTCGTTTATTCTTTTAAAATATGAATTGCCCTACAGATCAAAATCCTTTGAAACATTCCGAAAGCAAACTTGTTCTTATAACAATTATATTTTACAGTAAAAAGTTGAAAGCAACTTGAAAATTCACAATAGGAAGTCTGTAAAATAAATCATTCAATTTATTATACCACTTAGCACTTTAAAATGCTTTGACATAATATTAACTGAAAAAGCAAGTTGATTGCAACCACAAAAAAATATACATAGGCAAAAAGTATGTAAGGAAAAGTATGGTTTTCACTTCTTTATTTTCCAAATGCTTGTAATATGCTATATTACCTTAATTATAGAAAAAACAATGTCATGATATTTAAATCAAATTGCAGCCTGGAAGGCAACTATTGCTTGAACAAAGTCCCAGTGCTCATCATGACACCAAACAGAGCAACAGAAAATTGACTTGACTTGTCCATCTCTAGGTTTTTGCTGCTTTTTCTCAATGCTTAATCACATTACTTTCTGTTGCTCTCCAGTTGAATCATTTTTCTGTACTATCTTTACTGTAACACTAAGAAATTTCATTTGTCACTCCAAAATGTTATATTTTGTGTACAATGTTCTCATCTCAAAAAAAAAAAAAAAAAAAAAAAAGCCCACTACCAGTGAAGGCACAAAAGGGCAGAGATTTGAACCTGCAACTCGAGTGTCAGGACCAAATCCCAGAGTTTTGTTGCCCTATGGGAAAATTGTGACTGCAGTAGCAGCCCTCCTGAAATTCTGAAGGTCTTATGAGAGCAAGGGAAGTGGAATGTATTTGTTTCACCTTCTATTTACTTTTGTCAAATAATTTAACACATCTTGCTATTTTTTATAAGTGAAGGAATTAACATTTAAGAAGCAATTACTATGTACTGTACATTTTATTTGAAAATTATTATGCACACTTTATAGATGGGGAAGCTGAGGCTCAGAGGTTTTAAACAACTTCTGAGGGTCCAACAATCAGTCAGTGATGGAATCAGGATTTAAACTCAAGCTCTTGCTCTTTCCCTTGCACCCGAGGACCTACCCCAAGATCTCATCAATGACAAGACATTTGGAATAGCAGTGAATAGCCAAGCCCACAAGGGGGAAAAGTATATTAAAATAGAGTTGAATATTATACATCAAACAAGATAATAAACATGTGACTATGATACATTAGCAATATTTGCTGTGTCCAAAAGGAGCAAATAATTAGCTTAGTATTCTACATGAATAAAATTCTATGAAACTTAAATTACTGCTTTAATTTTTTATGTTCAAAGTATGATCTCAGTGACTATGAAGAAATCATTCTCAGCATGCTTGATTTACAGGATGGAGTGCAAAAGCTCGTGGAAACGGTCTGTATGGCTTTAGCCTATAAAGTGAAAGAAAGCAAATCAAAAACAGCCAACAAATGCAAGCAGTAGAATTTGTCACTAAACCAATATCCCTAGTTTGATGTCAGTTCATTTGTCTAAACCTTTTCTTAGCCCCATCTTCATCTTCACTACTAATTCATGAGCTCTTGAAAGATTAGGCTCCGATTTTCTAATCCTGATTGTACCCCACATCTTTCCCCATTTGTACACCTAACCCTGAATTGTAACCATCTATAAAATTAAAATTAAAATAAGCAAATATGATGCTTCAAAAATAAATAAGTAAAATGAAATAAATACATAAATTAAAAAACAGCAAAATAAATAAAAAACGGACTTTGAGCAGGATCTGTGGTTCTGCTTAAGATGCTCTTGGTGGTGGTAATCATGGTGATAATGAAGTTGATGGTAGCTGATTGAGAATCTAGATAATTGAGGTCCTCAAGTTAATTATTTAGAAATAAATTAACTAGATTGTCTAGCAGCATGCTCAAAATTGCTGGTAATTTTTCCACCCTCAGTTTCTTCTCATTCTGCCAGCCTGGCCTCCTTGTGTGCCCAGATTCTCCTGCTGTGTCCCGCAGCAACCCCAGGGGCCGGGCAGCTCAAAATCCTCAGCTCCACTCCACACCACCTCTTTCTGAACCCAGAGCCAAACTTGTCAGGATGTTGGATTCCCTGGGTTCCCTCCAATGGTAGAATGCAGGAAACCAGCTTAAGGACAGGCAGAGCAACTAAGGAGAAAGAAACCTTCGTTGAAAATTCTGAAACCAAGTCTTTTATTGCTTGAGAAAGTTGCAGTTGGTTTTGCTTTTTTTCTGTTATTGTAATTCAAACCCAGCCCTTTTCTGACCACTTGCTACGTGCAAAACACTGGTTTCTATTCTCATCCTCAATTCTACAAGCCCAACAATATGAAGGAATATTTTTTTCCTCTCTGAACAAACTTCTTTGTTAGCTGAACTTTCTTTAATATCTAAATTGCAGGCAGCAAAATAAAACAACTGTAGAAAATCTAGTTTAGTAATTAAAGAAGGGAAACATTATTGAGTTAACAGCATTATAGACTGTTTATCAAATGTTCTTTGAATTGTTTTTATTAAATATTGAAGTGATACAAAAGAATATTTATTACAAGCCGGGCTCGGTGGCTCAGCCTGTAATCCTGCGCCTATGGGAGGCTGAGGTGAGTGGATTGCCTGAACCCGCGGGTTCTAGACCCTCCTGGGCAGGCGAGACCTCATTTCTACAATAAAATCAAAAAATCAGCCAGGCGGTAGCGTGCGCCTGTAATTCTGGCTACTCGAAAGGCGGAGGCGGAAGGATCGCCGGAGCCCAGCAGGTCGAGGCTGCGGTGGCCGGGAGCGGCCACTGCCCTCCAGTCTGGGCGACAGAGTGAGACTCCAACTCAAAAAAAAAAAAGAATATTTATTACATATGTTAATATACAAAGAATAATAATATGAACAACTGGGTACCTATCATTTAGCTTATAAAATAAAACAATCAGAATTGCTAAAGCTCTTGAGGATATTTTTCTCTTTTTTTTTTTGAGTTGGCGTCTCACTCTGTCACCCAGACTAGAGTGCAGTGGCCGCTCCCGGCCACCGCAGCCTCGCCCTGCTGGGCTCCACGACCCTTCCGCCTCAGCCTTCCAAGTAGCTGGAACTACAGGTGCGCCCTACCACGCCCAGCTAATTTTTTTTAATTTATGGTAGAGATGGGGGTCTCACTAAGTTGCCCAGGAGGGTCTCGAACCCGCGGGCTCAGTTAATCCACTCACCTCGGCCTCCCAAAGCGCTGGGATTACAGGCTGAGCCACCGAGCCCGGCGAGGATATTTTTCTAATACTATCCTACTCCCTACCCCACCTTCCACCCAGAAATAATCAGCATCCCGAGTTTTATGTTTACCATTCCCTTGCTTTTCCTTATGAGTTTATCATATTTGAATCTTTAAACAATATATTATTTCCAAATGTTTGGAGAGCTTATATAAATAGAATCATGCCTTAGTTATTGTTCTTCAACTTTGTTTTCACCAAACATTATGTTGCTACGATGTGTCAATGCGGGTGTGAGTGACTGTAGTTTATTTTCTCTGCCGTGTAATATGCCATTACATGAATAGACTACCATATTCATCCAGTCTACTGCTAATGAGCAATTGCATTATTTCCAGTTCTTTCATCATTACCAGCAATGCTGCTATAATATGTCTTGTGCACATTTATGAACATTTCTTAGGATTCATATCTAACGTGGGATGATTGTTTCAAAAGTATACACAGCTTCAGGGCTGGCACGGTGGCTCATGCCTGTAATCTCAACACTTTGGGAGACAGAGGCAGGAGGGTCACTTGAGCCCAGGAGTTCAATAACAGCCTAGGCAACGTAGCAAGTCCTCACTCTACAAAAAAAAAAAAAAAAAAAAAAAATCAAAAACTTAGCTGGATGTGGTGGCACATGCCTGTAGTCCCAGCTACTTGGCAGGCTGAAGCAGAAGGATTGCCTAAGCCCAGGAGGTCGAACTGTGGTGAGCCCTGATCTGCACTCCAAACTAGACAACAGAGTTTTGTTTTTTTTAAGAATACACAACTTCAACTTTTGAACTTTACCGGGTAATGCCACGGCTTTCCAAAGCAGTCATACATGTGATTCCCACTGCTCTACAGCAGGCATGTCCAACTGCTAGCCTTCAGGTGGCCAGGACAGCTAGTAATATGG